GCAACCATGTTATAAGAGAAAATTCTAGTAGAGGGAGGTTTTTAAAAAAAGCTTCTAATTCTCACATAAACCACTTCAAGTCCGAATACCGAATAAACTATAGTTAACATTAAGTCATGAATATTATATTTCTATTCATTCCACGTAAAACATTTTCAGCAACTACATGAAAAGTAGCTCAACTTATGAAACACGAGTCTCGCTTTCAGGTTAAGTGCCATGAAACATTAAACTTACTTTAAAACTAAGTGCAAAAGTAATAAAATTCTGTAAAATATAATACCTAACTACTCAAAGTATGAACACTTAATTCCACAAGAGTCAATTTAAATTAACTCTTAACTATATACAAGGGATCGGATTTGAGATAAGTTTATCACAAAATTGTATGCTTTGTTGATCATTCTTTTTTTATGGGATAAGCCGGAAAACGAGCAGGCGGATCAAACAACGCAAGCGTTGTTTCACGTCGACTTTCCGCGAGGCCGTGGTATCGTTACGGTGGAGCCGGCCCATTCGTGCCGAAGCGTAGCTCTCCCACACATATTCATTATATCATATTTTAGAATAAATAGATTTTCACCGGTGAACAGCGGGGTTTTGATATTTCATAAGGATATAAAATTAATCTTTAAATCTAGACAATCATTGCAATATTTATAGAAGGATGTTTTATCAATTCAATATTACTATAACAACTGTTTATAATAAGAGTACTGATCTTTATTATATACAATTCATGGTTATCTTGCATCAGAAAGTATGACCTTGGCGGGATCAGACGATATGCTCTGAAAACTACTGTTTCATATACGAATTTGGTTCGTATTCATAAGTACTTTAAGTATCTTTTCGTTTTCGACATAGTCGTAAGAAAGAGCTTTAAGTTATGCTCCTCGAAAAATAAGTAGCGTATTCATATTGAATACATTTCCTACCACAAAACAAAGTCCTCCACCGTATCTGTATGTTTACGACAAACTCAAAAATTGCTAAACTAATTTTGGTGGTTGTCACCAGCGGATTGATTCTTGAGGACGTCTTAGAAGAAAATAATTTGTTAAGTTGTAGACAGAAAGAGTTTACATTCATAGACTTCCAATTACTTAGACGCTATTATTTTAATCGATGAAAATAATAAACAAAATTTTTGTTCACCTTCCATCACACTGTGTAACATTTATAAATGAGTTTAAAACTAGACATTTTGTTTACAGTTGTGTTAAAAATATGGAAATTTCCTATCATGGAGATGGATGTCAGTCACGCATAGAACATAATTGGTATAACAAACATGTCCTTTATGTGTATATCACTAAAAATAATATGTTCACGTGCAAAAACCTTTAATTTTATTGTTATACGATGTTTATAATTCTATGACAGACCCATAATTATCGCTTTTGACGTAATTCGTTTGATATTTTATATGATAGTGTCCATTTATACACATGATTCGAAGAATGTAGTTCTACCGACTCTACCCGGTAGATACGAAATGAACGAAAACACCATCTTTGGAGAAACAATAGATAGATTTTGTTTATATTAGCTAACAATATCTATACACGTAAACTTAGACATATACAGGATACAGATGGGTGATAAACAAAAATGCTCCTGACCTACAATTAGGTACCAATTTTCTAGTAAAAAATCAACAATTATAATGTCTTTCCCCTTAATGTATTCCCGAAACTCAGTGGCATCTGTTTCTAAACATAAAAGTTTGATAATCAAGGAAGTCGAGTCAAAGGGAAGTCACTTATCCACATCGAGAACGTCCCGCAATTTATTTTTAACACATTTCGTTCTCGTAAAATACCGGACATGTCTTTTTAAACCGAAAAGGGACACTTTGAAACTTCGATCAATTTTAAAGTCAAAATTATTTTAAAACAGTAACGAAAGACATAATATGGACATACCCTTTATTTAGATTAGAATTGTTTATCATTTTCAACAAGAGTATAAAATATCTAAATTATACATGAAATTGAAAGAAATTCAAGACTTTATGGATAATCCTTGAAAAATATACCTACCCAATAGTTGGCTGAGTGTATTATCGTTTTGAAACTAACAATAGATGTTAAAGTGCTAAGCGACAACGATGCGGGTTGTTGCTTATGAGGGACATATTGTGAACTTATTACACACTCTTATTGCTGTATATTAAGGTCTGTTTGTGCATCAATTCTGTACAGTTAAATCAGTTAACATTGTACTCTCTTAACCAAAATTATCGCAGTTCAAATAAATACGGAAATTGTCCCATAATTCTCACAAACCAGACAAACGCATCGATCATAACTACAACCAATCTTTTGGTCGGATTTGATATTCAATTATTCAAAAACGTGACCGTATCTAAGGATAAATAATTGCATAGTCTATTTAATATTCAGCAAAGATATTAAATAACATTACGAATATCGTTTTCACAATTTTCGGTTGAAAATAAAATCGGCTTACATTTTATCACGGGAAGTAGATAAACAAAGTCGGAATTTAGAGTCCAGAATTGTTTTGATTGGCACCATCTCCAGAATAACATACAAAACCGGGATCATGCGTTCAAAACAGAGAAAAAACATCACTGACCCATTTTTAAGTCCTAATTTCTTCCTTTGTTAATGAAAGAAAGAAAAAACATTTATTTTGCTACGACACACAACAAGAATTTAGAAACACAAAAAAAGCCTATGGTGCGTCGCAGCGCAAAAGTCTGGAGCTCAGCTTAATACCGTGGACCGGGAACAGAGGCTCAAGCCCTGATTTTCAGCACCAGCCCGTTATAGTACGTACTAGTTAAACAGCTATGGTAACGCTGTTCGGACAGCATGATGTATAATAAATTAATAATAAAAATTAAAACAAAATCAACAGCAACGATTACTGCCAAACTTTTAGGTTTACTGTTACTGAACACTAACAAAGGTTGCTTGATGGGTGACCATTATTATCACCTCCAGACTCTTTTGTGGGTGTATGACATTGTTCAGATTTTCTCCGTGCTCCAAAAACTGCGTTTAGCCAGTTATTTAACGGTTACCACTGTCAGAGTAAAATCTCGACCCCAAAAAGCAGTTTAGCGACAAAATAACTTCGCAAGGTCAACGTACAATGATTGCGATTTACGACCAAAATTATGTGGGTTCCGGTCCACGCCTTGCAACGTCATAAACGTAGTAATCGTTGAAAAACGTTATACGTTTGCACTTGATTTAATATTTATGATGAAATATTTTTAATTATCGACGGTGTTAAAGATCGTAAATTTTGCGCTGTGACGGTGGAATCGATGACGAATTTTTGTGTCGTGGCTGATTAGATATCACAAGTTGTTTTGACACGTTAACGCCGATCGACAGTGCTACAGACTGCGCATTTTATTTAGCTATCGATGTCAATCAATAGTTCTAATCTATGATAGCATTTGCTATAAAAGTAATATGTCACCTCTATGTAGTAGGAATGCGCATTTTATCAGTAACAGGCATGTGCAAAAAATATCGTAAGTTGTCAACCAACATACATTACATTACGCTCCACTTCCTCAAACCGGTATTAGTATAAAAGGCCTTTCTCTTTTTTTATTGTAGGTATGTACATCTTCAGTTGTCTTCCAGTACAGTAGTCAATATTGTATCTAGGTACCTTTTTAAAAGACACTCGCATTTCAATCGCGACTTTAGAGCTTTAACCACATAACTTAGAGTTCAAAATTGTTTTTTGAAAATGTTTATCAGTAAAGAAAAGGCAGCCAATGCGAATAGTAGGTGTGTTCTGTGTTACAGTAAAAACGTGCCAGCCACTGATAACAAGTACACCAGCAATCGTGATTACTTTCCCAGTGAACCAAAATGATAACAGATAATAGAAATACCTCGACAATCTATTTCGTAAGTCATAATCCTCGTATTTGTTGCAAATATTAGATTACGGGTGTTTCCAAAATGTGAATATAATATATCTCAATTAATTGATTCATAGATAACAAATAGGTATTTATTTTACAGGAAATCCATAGATAACTAATTATTTAAAGAAGATAAAAAATTGAATCAACCCTTATAAGATTTTTATGAAACTGCATCTTATTAGAAAATGTCTCATGATTGATTTGTTTTACAAACCAACTCCAAATAGAATTGATGATGCAATCTTGACAAAATTTGACATCAACTAACTATAACAAACTTTAGTATGATATAGGTACTGTATATCATAAATGTTGCAATATTTAAACATGGCATTGTAATACATATGCACACAGTACACACCCACTTAAAAACCTATCACTTTTAATAACAACAGTCATATCCACATTAATATCAACAGTTTGATAGTGAAAAGTACATATTTTTAATTTATATGTTGCAAAGAAATATTAATTTCTACTTTCTTTTATCTATGATTACATGTTACAGTTGACTGGCTTCCTTGTATAATGGTAGCATGGTCTAATTCCTATCAGTTTTAAATTTAAAATTAAACATTAATTTATGTTTGGGTGTTGTGAACTGTTTGAAATGGATATGGTATATTTTAACATACATTTTGGGCCGATTTTACAAAAGACAGAATTTTTTATCGGACTAATAGTTTTGAATATTTGACAATTCTTCCATGCTAAAAGCAATTGTCAATGTTATTCTACAGTTGACAATTACCTGTTTAATTGAAAAATCTGTTGCAATTAAATTAAACTATAGTGTTATGTATGTATGAAACACAGTAGACATATGAAAATTTTGGAAATTAATGGTTTAAACTGTCAAACACCAAGCGGTCACTGGTGACCGCAACCTATTGTTCTACAATTGTGTCTATAATGACGGTACTTGACGAGTTAATCATTAGTCTAATCTCACATTTTAAGCTTAGTTACAGATGATAATTAAACTGTCAAAGACCAAGCAGTCACCGGTGACCGCAACCTATTGTTCTATAATTGTGTCTGCAAAACCGGTACTCGACGAGTTAATACAGGTAGGCCTTTAATTAATCGGTTCTTTATCAACAATCAATGAAGAATCAACTAAACAAAGATATCATTCGTTACAGATGAATATGGCAATATAATTGCATGATTTGTATCTTATTGTGATTTGCTCCTGTTTCCACTTATGTGCAAGTAACATCACAAGTCATGCAGCAATTTGTTCACCAAATTTCTAATTAGTGTAACACTTTTACATTGATTAAGAATAAGATTTTATTTATATTTTAACCATTTTTAGCACATTAGTTTAAGAAGGTAGTGTGAGAAACTAAAGATTTATTTTTAAGCCATTGAATGATGAATGCAAGTTACAAATAGTTGAACAAAAACAAATGATTGTGTACAAAAAACTGAAGGCCAGTGAAGGCAATGAATAGAACTGTTCACTTTCACTGGTAGCTGCAGTAATAATAATAAATAAGAAGTTATTATTATTACTCACCCTTCTGTTGTCACTGAGTTAAGAGACAATGTCTCCGCAATTATCATCTCATGGTCCTCCTTCGTCTGGTCTTCATCCAACTGGGCCTCAGGGGACAGCTGAGATCCTGGCACTTCCTCCTCACCAACCTCCACTTTCTGACTGACATTATGCAGTCCTGATAGGTCTACTTTCGTATCGACACCGCCCTCACCTTGGAGAGCCTCCGAAACCACCAAAATGAAGAGAGCACAACTGTGGAGTACCATATGAATTAGATTCTAATAGGAATATTTACACATAAGTTCAGTATAAAGAAAAAATGTTTACGGTACCTGGATAGCACTGAAATTGTCAGCAACGACGTGTAGATAACACATAAACCACCCTTCATCGTAATATCAATGAAATATCCACAGTCCATATCATTTTGTGCGTAAAATTAAAACATATTCGCGACGCCTTCAAACTCAACAAAAAACGAATAATATTAATAATCACACATAACACCAACACAATTAACACATTTTGAGGGGTTGAATAATATTATAAAAATTAGCTGCCGTCGCCAAACGGATAAAATGTGGGAACGAACTTTTGCTCAATTTTACTAAAATCGAATCGTGTAATTTGACAGTTGCCAAAATTTTTTGTTCTTGTTGTCACTATCAAAATAAACGATTTCTATTGGTGGAAAAAAAGACGTGGTTTAAAATAACAAACTTCCACCAATAGCAGTTAAACATTTAATACCTTAGCTCTGTTTTTATTGGCGCTGCAACATGACTTTTGCACAAGTTTCATTTTAAGCTAGAATGCTGTTGACGTTAGCAATTTTTTGTAGAAGATAAATGGAAAAAAGAAAAAACCTACTACTAAGTAACGTTGTCTGATTTTATGCACACCGTTGAACTTCTATGTGAATAGCAGTATTATATCTTTTGTACTAAAAATGATGTTAACTTTTATTTTTAGTTGTGATAATCACTACAGTGAAACGGAGCGGTTCGAAGTCGTCAGTAGTGTTGTACCGCTTACACTTATTAAGTTCCTAAGACATTTTTATTACTCAACCATTCAACTAATGATAGAAAAATAAATTGTATGATACTTTATGAACGGTTAATTAACTTTAGTTGTATAGATTGGATAAAGTTATAGTATTATAGTAATAAGCAGTATTTTTAGATGCAAAATATTCTACGAAATATACAGATAGACTATTTTTTTACTACTTTTTAGTAGATTAATGGTAACATCACTAAAATACAGATAATGCTGTCATCGACGTCAACAGGCGTTTAACAAATTTATCGGTTCTTGTTTCAATAAATTCGAAAAATGGAGGCTTTATTCGCAATACCTTTCTCAGTTCTTGAAGTTCCTAATATTAAAATTAAAAAGCCGACATGGCTACAACCTCCGTCTGCCATGACAACCTTCTCTTTCGTGCTTCTTTCATACTTTTTAGTGACCGGAGGTTAGAGGGTTGTTTTGTGAGATTACCAGTTAGTTTCTTATTAGAATGTCCTGTAATGAAATATAATACATGTTTTGTATTGTAGGTATTATATACGACGTGATTGTGGAGCCTCCGAGCGTGGGTTCAACGACCGACGAACATGGGCACAGTAGGCCGGTCGCCTTTATGCCTAATCGAGTGAACGGACAATATATTATGGAAGGATTGGCTTCCAGTTTCCTCTTCTCGCTCGGTGGCCTTGGATTCATCATCCTGGATCGCACACACAACCCCTCCACTCCCAAATTGAACAGGATCTTGTTAATCTCAGTAGCCTTCCTATGTATTCTTGTATCTTTCTTTACAACTTGGATATTCATGAGGATGAAGCTGCCAGGATATTTACAGAACTGATTGTTTACTAATATATAGTAAGCGAGTCATGTTTTTATTTTAAATAAGTTTAATAAATTTAATAAATATTTTTTACATTTATTACAATGTTATTTCATTTTGAGAGAATATACATCTAAATTGTGCACTATTTAATGTTTTTACTATTAATATTATACATTCCAACATTGTAATACTTCATTCCTTCTTATCACTTGTTAAATATAACAATGTCAGATTACATATGTATGTATGTACCTAATATTACATATACCTAACTATACACAAAAAGCTATGAAAGATTTACTATAAATAACTTCAATAAAAAATGTTATTACAATACAAATTCAACTTTAAATATTTGGCATTTCAATACAATATTTCATTTAAAAAATACATATAATAAACAATTTTTATGTAAAATATATCATTGTCTAATTAGTGCAAAAAGTACAATAAATGAATTTTAAATAAACATTATAAAATGAGACTATTATTGTACAATCCTTATTTATTATTGCTACTGGAATACTATATACGAGTTATAAAAAGCCTTGTCTGATTAGGATGAAAAAACTTACTAGTCAAAATACAATTAAAGACGAACTAAGGAAATTAGGTATAAAAAAAATTATCTTATCAGAGGCATATTTTTTATAAGTTATAAAGCTGCTGTTCCATAGATTCATACAGTCATTGTTATAGTAAAAAAGATAAGTAATTAAAGCTTGCCTATTTTTAAAAAAAGTTGTATAAAATAATTCAAAATATAATAGGTACAAAAAAGTATTTTGAGACAACATCTAGAGGTATTACTTCGAGAATACATGAGTACTTAAGTTTTCAAATTGTGACAGTGTAGAGTATTTTGTAGATCTTCAGTTCACAGTCTTATTCTAAATGCACTGAAAAATAAAATAAATTGTTAGATTCGTTAATCACATTTTATAAGTAATCGTGGACACAGCCATATTATCCCTTAGCCAACCAGATATTGCCTAGAGCATCAGTTTATAGAGGAACGACGCGAGACTCGCATGCCTAACGGCCCATAGAGTAAAGGCGGCACCAAGAAGATTAGAGGTGCCTATGAGGTGCTTGCTTAGGACGCTTTCTTGGTTTAATCTGCCTCTGAATAAGTGACTTAATTTACAGAAAAAAAGAATTGTTTCCTAGTCACTATTATTTTTTTTTTTTTTAAGGGGGGAAAATCATCGAATGACTGCCCCCGCCTGGGTGAGGCGGGAGGGAGTGTCAGACTCTTACTGACTAAAAACCACCCCGTTCCTTCTCCTGCACGTCGAGCCGGAGCCCCAGTTACCCGTTAGGTTCTCCGCGACAGTCACTATTATTTGGATGTAAATAAATTTTAGTAGATTTTTTTTAAATAATATAGTTTTTGAGGTTTGTTCTCTTTTTATACAGTCATCATAAAAATACTCACTGGCAAAAATCTGAGCTCTTATCAATGATATGTTCAAACTCGGCAAAGGATAGAGCCCCATCATCATCTAAGTCGGCTTCTTCCAGAACATTCTGTACTAGCTGCTGTATCTCCGAGTCACTCAACTTTAGTTCTGGACCACACAGCCTTTCAATCACTTCACGTAAATCTGATACTCCGATCATGTCATCACCATCAAAATCTAGAAAAATATGGAATAAATAATGTTAGTTTTGCAAAGAAATGTAACGATATGCGTAGTTTATGTTATAATTTAGCCACATTAGTATTATTTTCGTGAGCAGCATTTGCACCACTCGCAGGTCGCAGAATGCTACTCATGAATATGAGCCTCTAGCATGGCTTGAAACTAGTCAAGTTCCTTGTAAAATAATTATGTGAGCAAAATGAAAAACTTAATACATAATTAAACTGTCAAACACCAAGCGGTCACCTATTGTTCTATAATTGTGTCTACAAAGACGGTACTCAACAAGTTAATATGCTTAGTTCTTTAGTAAAAAATATGTTAGGCACTCAAGGTTTTTTATAAAGAGGGAATATTGAACACCACCAGAGAAACAGAAATTATATCATACCAAATATTCTAAAAGCATGTTCAGCCTTCACAGCCTTCGGTGCCATCTCACTGAACACAGACATCATGTCTAGGAAGTCTTCGAAGGTGCAATCTCCATCGTTACTGGAGCTAAATACTTTACAAATGCGATCCCTGAACGGATTCACTCGTAACTCGGGATATTGGAGTACCTTTGTCATCGGTAATTTAGCATTTTTATTGTGGCCTACTTTCTCAGGAGCTAGAGCTTTGAATTTCTGGTGAGCACTGAAATTAAAAATAATTTATTAAATCAAATTTTAAAATAATCACTATGTGGAAATCCATAAGAATCACATCAATCATAAATTGTGATGACGACCTTATTTTCGCTATTGGACCGAGAGTTTTCTAATGGCAGGTACAGAGCTATTTTTAATTCGCTTTGGATTCAATCACAACCAGTCACTTGGATAATTTCGTGCAATTAGCATGCTCAAATGAATATACAGTGTAAATAACGATAATGCCTTGTTAAGGACGAAGTTTTTAGAAACATTTGTGAAAAAAATTAAATAAATGATTGTAACTCACTATAGTACTTCCTTCTTGGTAAAGTAGGTCAAATCCTGAAAATAGTGATGAAATAATTAACTATTGAAACAAAACTTCGTACAACATATTACTCATCACGCTAAAGTTAACAAGAACCATAACAAACTGAATATTATCTTTGTTACCTCGTAATCTTGTAATTCTTCCTCAGTAAACTGACTTTTACCTTGGCCCATTGTATGATTTAGTTCAGTGCTAAATAACTTATTCTATAAGATTTTAGTAAACAATAATAAAACACAAAGATGAGATTCGATGGGCGCGGAGTAGGTAGAGCAGAAAGCTGAAATGCGATTGCGAAATGCGAAGTGAAGTGATAAGAAAATCAACAACAGTGTCAATGTCAGTGTCAGTGCAAGAAAATGTCAAAAATGATTGATTACACGTTTAGTAATTTATAAGGCTTGTTTTTAATTAGAAAAAATATGGAAAAGATAAATGAAACTTTGTCATCAATGCAGTTTATATCTCATTTTTATTTACAATAAAAAGGAATTTTAATTTATTCGTCATCACTTTGAGATTCTGTCATAGTTTCTGAAATGAAAAAATTAAACGCTTTAGGAAAGATTCAACCATTTTCAAGTAAGTGTTATTTTTATTTGATAATACCAACCGTTGGGTTTCTTCATTCGAGATGCAAATAAAGAACCCCTTTTATAAGGGCCACCTGGGATGAGTTCACACACAATAGGGTGATTGTTTTTACAAGGCATCGAAACCCACGTTCTGTGTTTGGTTAAAACAACGCAATCGAATTTTTTGCGTGCTTTTCTCGGGCTACCAGGTGCCCAAGCTCGATATGTCGTACAGTCAAGGGCGTCACCTAAAATATACTTACATAAAATTAATCCTAAGCAACTAAAGATTGCGATTGCATTTTATGTCGCTTTTAAGACTAACCATTCACGCTGATGAAAGCACTTCCGTTTTTACTCCTGAGCCCTACAAATGCCATATCAATACTGGAACTCGCCAGGAGTTGGGCTAGTGCGTCAGTACGTTGCTCGCTGGTAACGTCCACTGGTAAAGCGCTGACATTCTTACACTGACGGTATCCTAGCGTGTAGTTTTGCCTCTTGGTGATGACGAAGAACATGCCCAGGGTTGGCACGCATGTAGTATTGACATGAGCTATAAATTACGAATTACGTATTAAACATTATAGATTACTTCAGGATTACCATAACACTAAAAGTGTATGTAAAAATTTCAAAGTTGGGGTAGGTACAGATTAAACACTTCGCATATGGTATACTTTCTGGAGTCATTCACCATGGACAATCCGCCATCTGCTTCAGCACACTTTAAAACTTCGCATGTATAATCTATAGTCTCATTACTATCTGCCCAAGCTTCTCGAGGGCTGAAGTTTATCGCCAGGCCCTTCTTCTCAAAGCCAAGCCGTTGGCAACTGATCAGAGACGTGAAGTTGGCCTTGGAAACTATGCCAAGCTTAGAACGATAGCACTTTTCCATCAGGTGATATTTTGGAGTACGTAATTGAGTATCCACTGAACATTTTGATATGGCTGTTAAAGTTGTATCGGTTATTGATAAGATGACTAGTAGAATAAACAACATGGTACAAGAAGAAATAGCAAAAATTACATAATAAATGTAATGATATGTAATTCATTAATTATTACAACAACTTTATAATATTTTATAGCAATACGCGACACTACAGCTTCAAATATAATAAATATTTTTATGTCGCACTTTATAGGAGAAAAAAAAAACGACTATTACTAATGAAATGAATGTAAATATGAAGAGTTTAGTTCCAGAAATCCTTCTATTAAGTTCAACAGTAGTTACGTCGTTACTGATTGTAATAGAACTTATTAATGTCGCATGCTGACTTGGATGACAGAATAATTAGATAACGAGATACTGTTACATTTACGGAAATATCGTATTATTGCTCGCATACGTAATTAGCTTTTATTTTCACATGTATTTGTGACTGAAAAGGTTGCATTGCCAGAAACCAGGAAGAGATGAATAGATACCGAATCAGAATCATAAATGTGACCCTGATCTCGAAACTTTATATTACCTGAATATTTCCTGTTATTAACCAAAGAGGTTTTGACCTCAAACAAGACATTGCACAGATAAATAAAACAACCTATACAACCTCTTTCGCTGATCTCAGCCAACAAGTTTGAATCAAAAATACTGTCTGAAAAAGTAAAGTTAATTCGAAAACCGTCAACAATCTAGTTGTCGCATTCAAAAAAGTGTCATTTATTTGGAAATGTCATTTTACTCCAATTTTATTGAGGATTATAATTATTATAATTAATTTTACAAAGTTATAAGCTTGCAGACAATTCTTGTAACGCGAAATGGGATGTTTTTACTCTAGGGGTAATGAGGAGGTGAGTGGTCATTTATGGTGAGAAGGTGGAGTGACGTAAGCAGTGCCAGGGTAGGGACAGGCACCCGGAGTGTCTTTATGAGTATTCTTGCAAAGACATTATGATAAACTGTTACTGTTCCAACAATCAATATACTGGAAGTAGAGTCAGTTGAATTAAGAATTTATCCAAAATACGTTGATAGGTGTTAAGAGTTCTCGGTACTGATCATCATGTCATCTGGTCTGCTCGGTTATCCCTTTCCTAAAAATTATATTATATTCCTGCACATTTTATCCTAATAACAAGCTTTTGTTTTAGATTAATATATCGAATACCTACGTCTTTGACAATAGTTCTGGTGGGCCAGAATACTTTTCGCTACCAGTAGATAATATAATAAATTGTTATACTTCAAATGAAATAGGGCGGGTTTTGGACTGTCATTATAATATGGTCCGTAACGAAACTTACTTTTTTTTCACAGGACATAGTCTACGACATGTCTCCTATAAGACATTTGCCCGTGATCTTCGTGAACGGAGTCCCGGGCGCTGGAAACCAAACTGTAGCGCAGACTATATCGAACATAACTGGATACACGATGATAAGGCCTGGTGAATTGGTGCGAGCTGAAGCTTCGAAGGATACAGCTAGGGGGCGCTTGATTGCTGATAAGTTACAGGCCCAGGAAGATATACCTGAGGTACGATAGATTTAACTAAACTTTATATTTATCTGACTCATATAGCCGAAAAGCAGGATGACTATTCTCGAAATGAGATGAATGACAACGAATTTAGATTCAAAGAACGATTGATGAGTTTATTAATTGGTAGGTACTTGCTCTTTGAAGAATTTGATGTAATATCAATCGAATTTTTGAATATTTGATACTTAAGTAATAAAAATTATCTTCTTACAGTAGGACTCATGATAATAGGTAATTGTCCTAACCGTCGAAGTTGACTAATGCGCCTTTGTACTAACTTTTTCCCATTGCAGCAACTAACGGTGGACTTGATAAAAGAGGCGATGCTAATGCAGCAGGAAGCGAAAGGGTTCATCTTGGTGGGCTTCCCGAAGAACCCACGCATGTCAAATATTTTCAACAGGCAGGTGAAATGGCCAGAGAAGGTTGTGGCTCTCGAAGTGGATAGTGAGGTATTGTTCTTCTGTATCTACTTCTGTGTGATTCAGTGGCGACGCAACATGACATAACGAAATCTTTGTAAATTAGACCTAATGTGCGACATTGTGGCAATGCATGTGGTCTTCTTGTTAGGCTCTATGGACTGCGAGGTCGGAGGAGTTCGACGATCGTAGAGTAATAACTGTAATACGGGCTAATCGTTCTCTAACATTACATTTCTGTTGAAAACCTATATTTATACGTATAGTATACGATGACATTCATTGATGATACCCTCAGGTGGCAGCGACAAGATTACAGAATAAGTTATCGGAGCTAGGTAGACCGGAGTCAGAGATCAACGCGGCGCGGCAGATCGTCAAGGAAGCGGCGCATAAAGTGAAAAACGTACACAAACGATTCGGAGGCCATGTTATAAAAGTAAGGCACTATTAATTTTGCTTATAATGTCAATTTTCATGATCTCCTAGCCGTGTTAGTCTTTATTTTAATACTAGCTGGCCCGGCAAACTTCGTTTTTTCTCACCTTTTAAACCTTCCCTGGACTTCCAAGAACATTTCAAGACTGAACTTACCCAAATCGGTTCAGCCGTTCTCGAGTTTTAGCGAGACTAACGAACGGAAATTGATTTTTATTTATATAGATTTCACTAGATAGTTCCATCTTTGTGTCAAAATATCCCTACCATAAGACTTTCATCGACGCCAGTGAATTATATATACAAGTCTCTACTTCAACCTCACCATTTTATATTTTACTTATAATGAAGAAGCTACCTACTTCCGTAACACTAAAGATCTCTATAACATTATCATCGTCAGCAGCTGGACAGCAGTGGCAATCCGAAAGCCCTAGCGTCCGCACTGAAGGAGATCCTATCAGACACTATAGAGCAGTGTCAGAAGCGGCCGGAGTCTCCAGGGTCGCGACCACCCACGGCCGTCTCCGCGCCAGCAGTGACACAGCCCTTGGTGGCGCAGTCAACTGACTCGCACGTGGAGGTAGAGGAAGCCGAGAAGCAGTAGGGTTAAACGTCTAATACTCAATAATTAATTGTGATTTGTTTTAAATTTTGCTATAATACATGTTATTGTTTTTTTTTTAGATCTTTTGTTGAGAATCCTTCCTCGTGGTTTAATATTCAAACGCTTAATTTCAATATGCTCTCTATAATAGTTTTGTAACAACAAATTCTTTGCGAAGTGATATACGATATTTAAGTACAATTTAAAATTGAGTAGCCTTTCAGTATTTGGACGTTAATGTGATAATGGTCAGAAGTATACAAGATACAAATTATTTTAATTAATAAACACAATAAACAAGACTGCCTCGTTGGCTGAGTGCTGGTGCTGAAAGGTCGATTCCCGGGTCGGGCAAAGTATTACTGGGGTTTTTTTTAAATCTCAGTAGTATCACGGAGTCTGGAGTCCGGTATATGGCTATAGGCTCACCCCCTATTACATGGGACTTATAACATAAATAGTGAAAAGTGGGTGTTACATTGTACAGTGGCATTAAGTGCCGTAATGTGCACCTCTGCCTACACCTTCGGGGATAAAATATAAAGGGAAAAAGTGAATTTATGTAATCACTCCAGTCGTTCATGCGTGATGATATTGATCAAGATTGAAAATGCCGAGCCCTATGGTTTCTTTTACTCATTCTGCCAGGAAGCTTATATATCGTGTAACCTTTGGGGGTATTTCGTACAAACTTACTGCTTCAGTAAATGTAGGGTACTTCTTTGACATTTCCTCTTGACCTTTTTCTCTTAAGTACCTAACTAGACCAGCCAGACCCACAATGAAATTAGTTCTGGCAGAATGCCAAATCTATGAACTACATCAGGTGCAGATGACTCGACAGGCAGCCAAACACGCAAAGTTACGAAGATTTATAAACCTCTTTTTTGTTTTTCTGTCTGGAATGAGCTGGTAAACAAGGAGACGGATCACTTGATTGGTAAGCACTCGGCGTCGCCCATGGACACCTGGGACACCAGAGGCGTTGCAAGTGCGTTACCGGCCTTTTGGGGATTCAGGGATTGGGGAAGGGTAGGGGGGTAACTGTGCCTCCGGTAACCTTACTCACACGACGAAACACAACGCAAGAGTTGTTTTCCTGTGAGGCCGTGGTATCACTCCGGTCGAGCCGGCCCATTCGTGCCGGAGCATGGCTCTCCCACACTTAAGTAAAGAAGCTCAAGAAGATGGTCCGTTTCATCGAATAGGGTGAAATAATAATTGGTGTACCACTTAACTTTTGTTTCATGCAAAAACACTATCTTTTCGGCAGTTCCGAGTTTAGGGAACATGGTCGATTACCATTCACCGAACTCAATACCAAGGGCTTAGAAAATTTCGACAAACAGAAAGACCTTGTTTTGTCAGTAGACAAGTTTTGTCTGAACCAGGAATCAAACTCAAGACCCATGGTGCATTTCCAATCACCAATAATCAATGAGGCATTGAGAATTTCAGAAAACTGAAAAATACAATAATGCTCGATTCGGAAATCAAACCAGAGACTTTACTCGGCTGGTCACGGAAGTAGTCAAGTCAAAGAGTATGATAAGTATAGGGGAAAGTCAATTTATCAGACATGTCATAAGCAGCTTAAGCGGCAGACTGTCAAGGTGCGCGAATCCTTAATCAATCAAACTTTGTACAATTCCACAGATTATACATTAGTTGCATACTTTTACCCTCGGAACAATAATTACAGCATTTTACCTATATTTTGATACTTACGATTAATTATTTTTTTTATTTGAACTGAAAAAAAATTTTCGTGCATAAGCAAGAGTGTTAAATTACAAAGAGTTTTATCATGTCGCCTAACTAAACACAGTCTCTAATTTCAAAGGAGTTTGCATACCTGCTGCTCCCACTGGCCGCTAATAAATTCCTGCAAATTTCAAAAATTTAATCAAAATGACAAGTGACAGTGCATGTCGTTGTCAATTGTCACAAAAGCGCATCGATTTTCGAAACAAAACATAAATAAAACGCATTCATTCCCCACAGAGCGGTCTTTGGCTAACCATCGTTTACCCATTTTGTTTATTTCATCACCAATTTTCACAAGATACTTCTGTGATGTCAATTGTAAATATCATAATTAATTGGCAGCTAATGTCAAAAGCGTGAAGTTTGGTGGCGGGAATTGCACTTTGTTGATTATTTGGTAAATTCGCCACGCTGCCTAGGTCCGTGATCAAAGTTATGAAGATCAAACTGCGTAAGTATTGGAAAGTCAATGTTTTATAACCTGTGAGCAGGACTTCTCTGTCAGAAAGGCTCGTAGTCTTGTGTAGGTAACTTATCTACACAGACTTCCATCTACCTTCAGTTTGGTATTTGCATTGTTTAGTTTTGAATGAAACTGAACTTGATAATACCTGAAAAACGTGAGAAAAACATCTTCCATAAGAAAGCTTATTGTATTTTCTTAGTTCAAAAGTTAATCTGAAAATTAGCATCAAATTGTTAGCACAAAATTTTTCTTTTACGCAGCCATTTTGAAAATTTGAATGTTGTTTATATAAACTGTTGCCGTCCTTCTCTATCAGTTGTAAAACTTTTTAAACCAATTTAATAACACCCAATTTATCAAATCTTCGTAAAATTGCATTTGACTTTAACATTTTATTAATTTATAGAAAAAGCGTAGAAAAATAGCGTAGAAAAAATATTCGAATTCAAGAACTACTTAATTATTACAATATTTTTTTCTTGTTAAACGTAATCAAGTTGTACAGTTGTCCCATTATACATTTTCTCTTGATTTGCCTGCAGCGCGAGACCGTTTCCCGTCGACTTCCTCGACGGAGGATAACGAGAGCGGCACGGATTGGGACGCGGAGGGTCGCCATCCTGCCATGACACACCCTCGCCACCCACCACCACCTCAGGTACCATTTATGTCCTACAAAGATGGTTAATGATCATTTTCACCAACCATTTCTTAACTATGAGTTACCTGAGGGACCTAAACTAACCCCTTATCTGTATAGTTAGGTGTCACTTATAGGTTGGTGAAATTCAAAATATCGTTAAGTATCGCCTATCTTTACTTAGAATTTAGCAGCAGTTTGCGTAGCAGTGGCATGTAGCAGTTGCGTAGCAGTGACGCGAAGTGGTAACTTGTAGCAGTTACGTAGCAATGACGTGTGGCATTGCGTAGCACCCGTTTCTGACTTTGGATTAGGAAAATAAAATTAACATAACTATGCATTTTGAAATTTTGTTCAGCTTTTTCAGCGGTATCTCCCTCGTGCGTAGCCAAGATAAAATTGAACCTTTATAGAGGCTATAGATGATTATAGATTGGTCGTGGTGGCCCGGAGGTTTAAGACGCCCGCTTCTCATGCATGAGGGTGCGGGTTCGAAACCTACCAACGGCAAGTACCAATGTGACTTTACAGAGTTATGTACTTTCTAAGATTATCTAGACACCACTAACAAACGGTGAAGGAAAACATCGTGAGGAAACCTGGGAAAATGAATGAAATTATAAGTTTGTAATCGCCAACCCACATTAAGCAAGCGTGGTCATTAATGCTCATACCTTCTCCGTGTGAGAAGAGGCTTTGCTCAGCTGTGGGCATTTATAGGCTGTTGATGGTGATAGATAATTATTACAAGATTATGATTGTTACAGAGAATGGAGAGCACAGACTGGAACACGGACAGCCGTCACCTCGCTATGACGCACCAACGACACCCTCCACCTCCACAGGTACCTAAGTTATTGACATGATGACACATCATTTATTATCAATATTATAGTGAAACTCGATCGCAATTTCGTACTCGTTAATATTTAAGTGTGTAAGTCTGAGTTTAGGCTTTTTTTAAATATATTTTTTTTATTCTGAAAGCCTAGACGTAATATTTTTTATAACATAACATCACGCCTTTTATCCCCGATGCCACTGTACAATGTAACACCCACTTTTCACTATTCCCATGTAATAGAGTGTGAAACTATTGTCATATATGTGGCACAATTCCAGATTCTGTACTACTACAGAGAATTATTTAAAAACCTAGTAATACTTTGCCCGACCCGGGAATCAAACCCGAGACCCCTTGCCCGGCAGTCGCTCGGCCAACCAGGCAGTATAGTTCTGTCTCTACAAATTCTTTGTGTAATGACAGAGATGGCACGATATTTAAGTACAATTTAAAATTGAGTAGCCTTTCAGTATTCGGGCGTAATTCGTTTCAATTTAACCCAATCAGGCGGTGATAGTCGGCTCCGTCCGCAAGCGCCGTGGCAACCTTCCGAAACACTCTGTAAAGATTTTGAAGAGATGGTTGTATGACCATCGTTACAATGCTTACCCCAGCGATGCTGAAAAACTGGCGCTCAGTCAGGAGGCCAACCTTACTGTTTTGCAGGTGAGACGAAGCAAACTGTATTGTTATAATCAATTGATAACATGTGAAAGAAAAATAGAACTATAATATATATGAGATGTATTTTCCGTAGTAGCTATAAGTCTACTTAGGTAAGTATACTAAGGGATGCTTATTGAACCAGCACCGCCACAAGACAACAAAGAGTTAATTGCTATCTTCAAAATACAGCGCTGGGAATAAACTGTAATATACATACATCAACAGCCTATAAGTGCCTACTGCTGAGCAAAGCCTCTTCTCACACGGAGATTTTTTCTTGTATAGAAGCACTATTTTATATGGATTGTCAGTATACATATGTGAGGACCATGTCAGACTTAAGATATTTGTTTTCTCTTGGTTTTGTTTTTTTTCTATTTTAGTATGTTCTGTTATTTATGTATGTTGTTGTTATGTGTTAGGTATATATGTTGCGTCAGGTATGTCTTTACATTATTCTCACATGTGTGTACAATATTGGAATATGTATCAGAGCAATGTAAAACGACTTTTTTTAAAAGAGTAACGAATGGAGTTTCTTGCTCGTTCTTCTCCACTCGAATCGACATTTTGGAACGAGCGCCTAGCTCCACGGACGGACAGACTGACAGACTATTATATATTTCATATTTGTTGACGTATCAAAAGTACCAAATTATGGTTTAATTGAAATAAATGCTTTTGAGTTTAAGTTTGAGAAGATTTGAGCATTAATCACCACGCATGCTCAATGCGGGTTGGTGATTTCAAATTTATAATAAGAAATTATAAGCCCAGGTTTCCTCACGATGTTTTTCTTCATCGTTTGTCAGTGGTGTCTAAATAATCTTAGAAAATACATATAGTTAACTTGGAAAAAGTAACATTGGTTCTTCTCGGGAATAGGTTTCGAACCTGCGTCCTCATGCATGAGAAGCGAGCGTCTTAAATCTCCAAGACACCACGACATTAGCCTTTCAATAATGTCATTGCTTTAGGTCTGCAACTGGTTTATAAACGCTCGGCGACGTATCCTCCCGGAGATGATCAGACGCGAAGGTCACGATCCCCTTCACTACACCATATCACGGCGTGGCAGGAAGCAGCCAGGCGCTATGGCAGGAGTCGGACCTATGGTGGGATTAGGTGGAGCTTCCACGTCAGGGCTCGGTGTCACACCCGGAGATAGTGTCACGGTAGCAGCATGGGATGGAATTGTTGTTGAGGTTTGTTGAAGAAATTTAAATTTTCTCGTTAAATATAGCATGTATGATGATAGGGGCATGATTCATGACTTCTCACTCGAGTCTTATATCAATAATATAAATTATCGCTAAGCTAATCCTAGTAATACTCACAGAATGGACCAGACGGACGAGCGCATGACTATGGAGATGGCCTGCTGGTCTACCGCAGTGACGGTGACGAGCTTGGAGATGGAGAGGAGGGCTACTCCAGCACCATCAGCGAGGAGGAGGTCAAATACGATCCCTCCGTCTGGCAATCCGTCATACGGTATGGACCAGAAGACCACGACCTGCATCCAGCCGCTAGGGAGTGAGTCTGGAATGTTCTTATGTCAGATCGCTAGTGATATTGCTCAGCGAATCATCGCTAGAGGTTTTGCTTAGTCCCACATGAGGTGTGTTTTGGCTGATGTGACAGCCATTAGTAAGTAGGACCTGTACTTTAAGGTTATAGAATACGAACTTATGACATTGACCAGTCTAATGTGTAAGTCACAGCGAGGAATACTTTCCCTCCCACAGCAGAGCGTCAGTCGTATCAGTGGCCACGACACAGGTAGAACAAACCAACGAGCCGAGGGACACTGATTCAGAGCAGTTCTGCTCCAGAGCAGCAAGGGCTATTGTCAAACGCTGGTACAATACACTATCAATTCTCTAAACGTTGCTAAATCTTCCGCACGATAATCCGACCTGTGCATGTTCACGGCATGTTCTCCTACTACAGCAGTACGGCATCGATGGTGACAGTGTCGACGTCGGAGGAGATGGTGGAGCAGGTCCCGGAGCCGGTGTCGAGCAGTGAGGACGGGTGGCAGGCGCTGGCGCACCCGCAGCTGGCGCACCTGCCGCAGCTGCCGCACCCGCTGCGCGCGCGCCGCATGCAGGTGAGCCCGCCCCCGCGCCGCATGCAGGTTAGCCCGCCCCCGCGGCGCATGCAGGTGAGCCCGCCCCCGCAGCCGCCGCCGCCCGTCGCCGTCGAGCTGGAGGTGGCCACCACCGACATGTGGTGCCACACCTAGACCACGCCCGCGGACCTACATGTCACAATCGTACCATTTGTACTACACTTTATTCTTGCAGTTCTACTCAAAGAGAGAAGATTCATTTACCGAAAATTTGATTTTGAATTTCTTTGCCTCTTTGTTTAAAAATAAAATATGTTTGGAGTTTTTAATTATATAATTTGGCTACGCGGACGCTGTAGCCCCGCTTTAGATTGACGCATGTTTTTGTACATAACTGTAGGAGACGTCGGTGTTAAAACACTAGAGTTCCCTTTAAAATCAAGTGTTCCTTATAATATAGTTAAGAGAACTTATGTTAGTGTTTTTGTTTTGTTTTTAGCCTAGAGACGAGTTTCTGTTTGTTGTGTAAATAAACTTTTATACTAAATGCTTTGATTTTCATTCAAGTAGTTGAACTTTGTAAGGTAACATGGGCGCGGGGTGTTTTAATGCCGGCATCACCTGACAGTTATTGCTTTGGAAGTTCTTTTATTTATTGTTCACCTTTATCATTAGTTGTCAAAATCTTTAAAAGCCCGATGGCTTATTGTATATTTAGCTTAATAAGTCCGTCTGACGAGGACCATAACTGCAGGTGGTGCCGAGGCTGGAGGGTGATCAGGACAAGTTCAAGTGCCTGTACCTCCTGGTGGAGACGGCAGTGGCAGTGCGCCAGAGGGAGAAGGAACAAGAGGAGGCAGTGCTCCCTGTTTAATAAGTGTACCTTACGAACTATTTTTTTCATTCTATGTTATAAGATAAAATAAATCGTTGCTATGGTAACTGGTTCTAAGTAGCATATAGAAAGTGTTAAGAATTATAAAATACTATGATCAAATGAAATAATACCATATTTGTTTTTCACATTTTCAACAATCAGTTTTCTTTGTCGTAAGAGATGTTTTTGTTTAAGCCTACTTAACTAGAAGTTAAGCGAATTATTTAATAATTTTGTTATTTGGAATATTGTAAGTAAACGAATGAAATGAGGCTCGTAGAATAAGATCGTACATGATTTGTTAAGTGATCATCTGATCATCATTAATAAATTTCATTCGCAAGTTGAGTTTCTTATTTCTAATTAAGTTGAGAAATAAATGAAAGAATAGAAAATGAAATGAAAGAATTGAAATATAATTGAGAGAATTGAAAATGAAATGAAAGAATTAAAAATGAAATGAGAGAATTGAAAATGAAATGAAAAAATTGAAAATGAAATTAAAAACGAATTGTTTTGCATTATATTTATATGGGATTTGTAGTATTATTGATGATTATTCCCGTTATGCGTCAGTATCTGGTACAGTTGTAGTTACTTGTATATTATTATTCGATAAACCGGATGTTATGGATGTAATGGATGCCCTCCTTGTCCTCACATTTGTAATACCGTACTATAAACTTGAGTTTGCATTTTTTTAGCCGAAGCTTGTGTCTTCATATTTGGAAAAGTAGGTACCGAACAAAAATTATTTCCGATTCCACAGGGTAGAATTTTCGTGAGGTATAAGGAAGCAAGGAGCATAGAAATCAGTAGATGGTAGATAAAGCGACCAACATCGCCTATGGACACCAAACCACCAAATTAATTTAATATGAAATACCGTAAAACGGGGTAAACGTCGAACCCCATTCGTATATCTATGCAGAGGGTGAATAAATGTTTATTCACCCCTCTTCTGTTTCTATTCACCCCGTTTGACTGGATTACACTATTGGCGTTGGCGTTGGCGTTGTTCCAATTCTTCTAATCTAGATCTAGCAGCTTCGGCAGCGTTACGAGCAGCCCTCGCTCTGGCTTCAGCCTCAGCAGCTTCGCTCGTAGCTGAGAAAACTACATCGTCATTGACCGTACTCTCCTTCCTCCTTGAAGCGACATCTATTGATGATTGTGTAAACGCTCTGACAGCTCGTATTTTTTCTAAAGCTTCAGCCTCCAGTTTCTCTGCCTCAACCAAAGCGGCATGAGCTACTATTGGCTCTAAGTACAACTGCACTTCTGCAAAAATATCATCTGGAGATTGTTCCGCATCGATCTGAAATTAAATGGTGTATTACTACAATTTTCTATTATATGTATATTGGCTATGCGCAAAGCGAGTAGTGGCGGACAGATAACGACAACACGGCAGAAATTGGAAACAAATGCGGATGATGCAAACCCGGTTTATACTGTTATATTCATTTTAGGTAACATCAATACATCAATACATAGTATAAAACAAAGTCGCTTTTGCTGTATGTCCGTATGTATGCTTAGATCTTTAAAACTACGCAACGGATTTTGATGCGGTTTTTTTTAATAGATAGAGTGATTCTTAAGGAAGGTTTGTATGTATATACATATTGCACCCGTGCGAAGCCGGGGCGGGTTGCTAGTTGTTAATATTTGACAGCTTCCACAAATGTTATAAACGCTACGCGTCGCCACCGTCGCGCCAATATTTACGGCAAACTTCATACCGCCTAACATTTTTTTTCTTGCTGTTTAATCCTTCCTAGGACTTCCACGATAATTTCAAGAAATTCCAAATTTAACCAAATCGGTTCAGCCGTTCTCTAGTTTTAGCGAGACTAACGAACAGAAATTTATTTTTATTTATATAGATAATACAGCTAACCAATGAAACTAATTACTATTACTATTAATACTATGGCACTCGTCTAGTTTCAAATCACAGGAGTAATTATTAGTAGCATTGCCTTAGTATAGTCAAGTCATAGCCGAAACAACTAATTCAGAAATCTTTGCCAATGTCTGGAGATAAAATCAATATAACGAATAATTCTTTTATAAACTATATTTAAAAAACCGACCTCAGCCCCTCTTGTTTTGAAGTCGGTTAATTAACTCGTCGAGTACCGTCATTATAGACACAATTAAAGAACAATAGGTTGCAGTCACCGGTGACCGCTCGGTGTTTGACAGTTTAATATACCTTCTCCTATGTATAACAAACACTTTTCTGAAAACAGCATCAAAATCGGTACAGCCAATAGCGAGACAATAGCGCACAAAAATATATATATATATAGAATCGGGTCAAACTGAGAAGTCTTTTCTAAAGTCGATTAACTCGTCCAGTACCGGTTTTGTAGACACAATTATAGAACAATAGGTTGTGGTCACCGGTGACCGCTTGGTGTTTGACAGTTTAATGAACATAACATAACATCATGTCTTTTATCCCCGAAGGAGTAGGAAGAGGTACTCATTACGGTAATTAATGCCACTGTACAATGTAACACCCACTTTTCACAAGCCTATTACCATAAACCGGGCACTGGTGTGTATGTGTGAATGTAGTCAGTAGAAACTGAGATTTTTTTTAATACTTTGCCAGACCCGGAAATCGAACACTTGCATCCACTCGGCCAACGAGACAGTCGGTTAATGAAGTCAGTTAATAATAAAATATTCTTATCTAGTGTAATAAATTCTGTACCCTTTTAACTTTACTGCCATAAGGTTCTAAGACGCTGTGGTTATGCTCAATGAAGGTTGCTATGCGCATCTTCATGATCCTGAATTTATCATCTTTCCTTCTATTATCTTCTGTTGACGCTTCTGCACGGCCAAGTAGCCGGCGGCACAAGGTGTTAGGCGATGCTTCGAAATATAGGATCAGCTAGGAAAAGAAGAACATATAGAGAACCAAAGTAAAAGAAATGGGTACGTTTCGATATTGCAAATTATAAGAGATCTAAAATCAGGAGTAAAATTGAGTGATCGAGTGAAAAATAGTGATATTAGAGAAAGGTTGATTGATGGAGCTGAAAGAGGATTGAAAGATGATGTAGTGACAAGGAAAAGGGAATGTTACGATGGTTTTGTCATGTGTAAAGGAGGGATGAAAGTAAAAGGTACGCAGAGCGTATATGGGGACGGCGTCCTAGCCGTTTAGGACGCCGTATACTTATGTCCGTACATATATTTCCATATATCCAGATAGGCGATAGATATATTAAAGAAGGGCCAAATTAAAAGTTCATTTAATTGACGAGTATGCATGAAAAGACTGATGACTGTTGATGAAGCGAAAGAGATATGTAAGAATCGTAGCAATTGGCGTTCCATAATCTTTGCTTGCCCGATGAGAGACAGGCGTTTGGTTATGTATCTTACAATGTACCACCGTCTGAATATTGCGAATTATGACATCTACTGACTAATGTTATTGGGATGAGCTTATTGTCATACGCCGGGAGGCCGGGAATCAATCTATAATGCACTCGACCGTGACGACTTCTTTTAGTGATGCTGTCGCGCATTCACCAAAAGCGAAATAACATTGCTAATTCACTAGTGACGCATGATACTTGATGTGCCCTTATGACTATCGATGCAGACACGTGACGGTAACACTACTGTATCACGACAAAAAGTTCGCCGTGGCATCTTGGTGTCACAAAAGACCGTTTTAGACCAATTCGGATTAATCTTTAGGTCTATCACTGTTGTGTGAAATAATTATGTTTCTTACCGCGACTGGTCCAATAGTCCTCTCAAACTCTGCACCTTGAGATTTCTCACGTGGAAACCCATCTATTAGGTAGCCATGTGTTCCTTTTTTAGCAGCGTCTTCCATAGCATCCTTCAGTACTGCTAAAACCATGTCGTTGGGTACAAGGCCGCCTTCACAAACAAGTCATTTTGTAGAAAACAATTTTATCACATGTGTAATTGACTCAAAACCAATATATTGATGATTATGAGGCAAAGTCTGTTGAATTAAAATAATATAGGAAATAAACGGCTCGGTGTTCAAACTCGTATCAAACTTCTAGTATAAGATTAATGAACAAATCTTTACGTAGTTGCCGATAAATATTTCATTTGACAATCTCTCAACAGGAAGATTATTTGTTAGGATTGTATAAGGAGGTAATAGGTCGTTTTGAGGATAGCTACATAATATAATAAATGACTATTCTGTTCTTCTTTACCAGGCATTAAGTTAAAACAAAATCATACTGATACTATAAGTAAAATAACCTTAAAACTTTACGTACCTCGTTGCATAATAGAAGTCAGGCATTTGCCTCTACGAGTCCCAGTCTTCACTTCATCCCTGATTAAATCTCCGGTGGACAGATGGGTGTATCCATATGTTTCCACCACCTTGGAACATTGAGTGAACTTGCCAGATCCTGGGCCTCCCAGTACCCATACTATAGGCTTAGTTTCAGGGTCAAATTTCGACTGGATAATGATTGGGAAACCAGAAAGGATGTGTTATTTTTGGAAGTCATTGGGTCTAGTGGATGCTAATAATGATGAATGATGATGCTAATTTTAGGACGAATAGGTTTTTGGTAACGTATTGCAAAAGTAGCAGCTATTTACTCAATAATAATAAAAAAAAATAATAAAAATCTTTATTTTCTCAAAAATACTCTACGGATACAAATTATACAATATGTTACAATTAAGAGACTGGTGTCTGTTAAAGGTATAACCTGTGTTACAGATCACCAGGCCCGGGTGACCCCCGGAGACATTGAACAATATAAAGTATTTACTTAATTAAATAAAAAGGACAACATTGTATGAGTGTGTGTGTGTCAATATAAGAAAGATGTAGAGACCCCAACAATTTAGTTAGGTAAACGGGAAAAGACCTCGTGGTCGCTCACCTACCCGGTGGTCGGATGCTGTATAAAACCTAACCGGCCTGACAGTTCCACAAGTCATAAACTTCGTACAAGCTATTTTTCGTACAAGCTATTTTTCGTACAAGCTATTTTTTTGTGGAATGCGCTCCCCCATGATATCAGGATGGTGAAAAGTCGTTTAACTTTCAAGCAGAAGGTTCGTGAGCTTCTCCTGACGAGGTTGGCTGCTTCATCACACTGACTATATCTTTTATATTTTGTGTAGGTATATATGTATATATATATATATATTGATATATATTAATATTATAGTTATATAGTTATGTATTCTTCAATATATATTAAGTTATGTTGTAGTATATATATATTGTGTATATTGTCGAATTATGTATGTGTTCTTTCAAATAGTTAAATTCAACGCATGTTTTGCACCCGCTGATTACTTTCTCTGCATCACCCAAGGGTCAGACTGGTAGAAAATGCCTGCGGCATTAAGTCCACCCATGTGCTTGTTTGTGTGCATAAAGCTTTTTAAATAAATAAATAAAATAAATAAATACCGCAGAGGACAGGGGCGTTTGGAGGAGGCTTGTGCATCAAGTGACGCGTGCACCAGACTAGACACGACCTTCAGTAATGAAGAGAACGACTAGGAAGAAGAAGAAAGATGTAATGTTTGCTAGTTAGGGTTTTTTTATTGAATGGATCGGCGTTTGGCTGTTGTCTTGCCTGATTGTAAGCAATGATGAAGGGCTTGGCAATAAGTGGGAAATTTCATAATAGAACGAGTTAGCAACATTAGCTGTCTCAGTCTAAGCAAACGAAGCTTCACATTTAATCAATTATAAACAAAAACTTTAATTACTCTTCACAAAAAGCGTGTTAAAAGACTGATGAAACCTAAAAGAAATTTATCACTTGGACTTGAATAGGTTTAGAATCAATAATTTGAGGGAGGTTTATGTTCAGTAGTGGACGTCTGTAGGGTAGGTCTATGGCTGATACTATGCTGAATTTTATTCCTACCAACCTTGGTCTGATAGGCCTTGCACTGCGTAGCTCGGCATTGCAGTGGGCACGCTGGTAGCTTGTCAATTGCTGGCTCTTCACACCCAGAGCACAATTTCTGGTCTAGAGGCGGTTTTTTATTCTCCATAACAGATTATGTTGGGAAGTTAAATGCCAGATGATTATGAATTGTGAACTGGTGCCAGAATTTATTGTATTTGCATGGTGTTAATAGGAATTTTCCCGTTGTTGTTTTTACCCCGTCATTTTGTTGTTGTGTTTCTTGACAGACTGAATGACAAATTACTTTTAGAATGGATTTTTTATATTCTATGTTGTGTCAGATTATGGTAGGTATCTGTCACGGATCGTAGAAATTAGAGTTTCTGGTCTTTCTTCCTCTTATCTTTGAATTTATAAAATACAGCAGTCTTCTGGATCATTTCTGGATAGATAAGGTAAGGTCTATGTTCAGAAGTGGACGTTTTTTGACTGATGTGATGATAACGAGACCTCAGTTGAAAAATTTTATATTCGGACAAAGAGGTCTCCAAAACATTTTAATTCCAAAAAAGAAACACAATTAAAATAAAAACATGATTTAATTAACGATCATTAGATAAAATATTTAAAATTAATGTAAAGTAGAGATGTATGTACAAGAGTATAAAATATTGAGTTGTGCGCTTAAGCACCCACTACGAGGGGGTCCAAGATCTTCTGAACTTCATCAAAGATGGTGTCCACTGAGGCTTCGGCGTTTATCTGAAATATTAACAAGGAATATTATAGATTTTGAAGTAGGTACTGTACTTTCAAGAAGTTTATAAAGCTTTTCATGGGTTGAGGAATAATATACGATTTGTGAGGTTTCGTGATTTTGTAGAACATCGAGATACCCTCGTCCTGTTTCCACTGCTGCTCTTATTAATTGTAGTAGAGTGATATTTAATCTATACCTTCGATAAATTAACTATCCAAAACAAAATAATTATGATATTCGAACTAATAGTTCCTGCGCGCGTACAAACAAACTCTTCAGATATATAATATTAGTACGGTATAGATATTTCTACATACTCTGCTAATTTTGTCAGGGTACTGGTCCAGAACTTGCTGGTTGTTGTCGAGGAAGGTCTTCAGGCGCAGTTTGATGGTCTCCTCGTTGTCGTCAGCTCGGCCAGAGCTGGCGGCACGGCCCAACAGCCTCTTGGTCAGTGTCTCTGATGAAGCTTCGAAGTAGATTATCACCTGGAATGAAAGTTAGCACGTTGAAAATATGGCTAAATTGGATATTGGATAAGTACATTATAGTTGTTAAAGTAATTATATTTAACATAACATCACGGCTTTTTATCCCCGAAGGGGTAGGCAGAGATGCACATTTCGGCACTTAATGCCACCGTTCATATAACACACCCACTTTTCACTATTTATGTTATGACTCCCATGTGATAGGGTGTGAACCTATTGCCATATACAATTCCAGATTCTGTACTACTACTGAGAATTATTTAAAAACCTAGGAATACTTTGCCCGACCCGGGAATCGAACCCGAGACCCCTTGCCCGGCAGTCGCACTTGCGACCATATTTAACGACATATATTTAACTTAAAGAAAGAAAGAAAGACTTTATTTCACGCGCTAAAACTTCTTTTATTTTATGTCCAATCGCCACTATGTAGACCTCTAAGTGAGTCGCGGAGAACCTAATGGGTAACCGGGGCTCCGACTCGACGTGCAGGAGAAGGAACGGGGTGGTTTATAGTCAGTAAGAGTCTGACACTCCCTCCCGCCTCACCCAGGCGGGAGCAGTCATTCGATGATTTTCCCCCCTTAAAAAAAAGACCTCTACTAAGTGACGATGACGGTGGTAGGTGACGATGATGTACCCCTTTCTCGTTATAAATATGACTACGATATACACAACGCAAGTACTAATTCACACCGGTTTTCTGTATATGCGACTATATCACTCCAGTCAAGCCAACCCTTTCATGTGACAGAAGGCTAAAGAATAGACTACGACTAGAACACTTACAGATACAGGAGCAATGGCTTGTTCGAAGGCGATACCCTGTGACTTCTCCCGAGGGTAGCCGTCTACCAGGAATCCCTTGGAATCAGCGGCGCGGGATACGATGGCCTCCTTCAGCAGCTCCAATACCACGTCGTTGGGGACCAGACCACCTGGAAATATTGGGAAGATTTTTTACAAGGTTGGTTGTTTTTTTTACGTGAGTCCACACTAGCACCTTCTCCTGTGTAGTGGGTTCGCGAATATAGCACACCACACCAGAATTTGTGGATTACACAAAATATGTTCCTTACAAGAATTGAACCCAGGACAAGTTGAGCAGCTGGAGGAATGGTTATTAGTTTATTTTTGTTACAAGCAAATCTGAATTATTGAACATACATACATACATACATAACTTCACGCCTGTCTCCCATGGGGGTAGGCAGAGACTAAGGAACGCCAATTACTACGACTCCTACATAAATCTTTCGCTGTAATGTACTTTCATTTATTGAATGTATAATGATATTTAGGCATTTGACGATACGAACTCATTCCGAGGACCACATACTTAAATAAATAAAATACTATCAAAAATCTACCAGCTCACCTTGTTCCATAATAGCAGTGAGGGTCTTCGCTCTCTCGGAGCCGCTCTTCACCTCAGCCCTCAGCAGGTCTCCAGTGGAAAGATGTGTGAAACCATACTTGGCTATGATCTTCTCACACTGGGTGCCCTTGCCAGATCCTGGACCTCCCAACACCCAGACGATGGGTTTCTTTGATGTATCGATAATGGGGGCCTGGAAAATTAGTTTTATGGCATAAGAATGCGTGTGTGAAGGCAGCGAAAGTACATTTTTTTGGTTTAATTGTGATACCTGTTTTGCTACTAAATAAATATTAAGATTTGGAATGCTATAATTCAGTTTACGTTATAGCTAACTAGGTTATTTGTGGCTTAAAATTAATCGATTTAAGTAACCCATATAATTTGTTGCAGTTAAAAATAAATAATCTACTAAATGTTCATAGTAAAAATGTACCTATATCTAATAGTAACTAGCTGTTGGCTGCGACTTCCTCCGCGTAGAACATGATTCCTCTTTTATCCCATGGGAGCATCTAATCGGGATAAAAAGTATTCTATCACCTAAGTCATGGGCTCGCTGCCATTGCAGCGGTAAGTCGCCTCTTTGAGGAGTGGCTTGAGAGACGCTACGGTGTCCTCACCTACCGCCTCACGCAGGTCCTCACCGGACATGGAAGTTTCAGGAGGTATGTACCTGTGTCTGATCACCTAAGTCAGCCCATGCCCTGCCTGTATACCAAATCACATCAAATACCTAGATTGGCGGACATACACCCAACCAAAACAAATTCATAAATATAATATTACTGTAATCTGCCAGATAAACACTGAAACTATAGTACCTAAGTAATAGTTTTATTGAGTACCTGGTTTTATTAAATCCATAAAATCTAAGAACAACGAAACTCTCATTTGTTTGTAGCAAAATTTTAACATTTTCTTTTATCAATAAACCTGCACTACTAAGAAAAGATATATTATAATTATAACAAGACAATTGTCCCCGACCTTTTTAAATTTGCAATAAGGTGACTTGCAACGCGTGACACATTTTCTCCTGGACGCTTCCTGAGGATCTTGGGATTGCCTGCACCTTGAGCCCGACATTTATACTAGTAGTGGGTCAGCAAACAGCTAGGTGCTGGCTCAGAAGTTACGTAAATATGTACATGTTTTTATTTTTTGCGTTTTATTAAAAAAATATGCCGTCATTGGAGTTAGGAGCGACCCACTAGATTTACTTCATTATGTTGTGTGGTATCTTAGTCTTTTTAAATAAGTTCTAATGTGTTTTTTATGGTACCTATAAGCCGGTAAACGAGCAGACGGATCACCTGATGATTAGCAACCGGCGTCGCCGATGCATGGACACCCGGAACACCATAGGCGTTACTAGTGCGTTACCGGCCTTTTGGGGATTAGGAGTTTGAGGATCGTTGGGCGTTCAGGAATTGGGGAGATTGTTAAAGGGGGAGGGGGAAAATCAAAGCATTTATTTTAATTAAAAAATATTTTTGTACTTTTGAAACGTTAACAAATACAAAATACCTCTAAATAATAGTCTTACAGTTTGTCCGTCAGTGAAGCTAGGTGCTTGTTTCAAAATGTAGATTCGAATGGAGAGGAACGAGCTAGAAACTACATTCGTTACTCTTTTAAAAAATATTCTTACAATATCTCAGATACATTATCTAATATTGTATATGTGATACATAATACAAATTACAGAACTTACGCGTATGACAATAAAGTATCAAAGCATAGTTGTCAGCACGTTTGATTGAAACCGATGTGGTATTATTGATTACTTGAGCCAATTACTCTTCACCGTAAGTTATTATCGGATCGATAGGTACTCGATAGCCCATCAACAATGTATGGGTAATCCAGTTGTATGTACATACTATATGGTTGATTGTGTGTCATATTTTAAACTGGGTTTATGTAAACAGGTGCCATCCCTGAATCAGGTGAAATGTTAGGGTTAGGCACTCACGTAGCCGCGAAAGACTTAACAGGGTGCCGGGGCTTCGGTTCGAAGTGCAGGAGAAGGAACGGGGTGGGTTTTAGTCAGTAAGAGTCTGACACTCCCTCTCGCCTCACCCGGGCGGTAGAAGTCATTGGATAATTTTCCACACTACAAAAAAAAAGGGTTAGGCATTCGAAAGTTTTTCAGCAATATATATATGTAGGCATATGGTTGTATGTATGTATGTTTATTGGTAATGGGTTCTGGGTAGGTGTTGGGCTGCTATCTCGCCTGATGGTCAAGCGATGATGCTTAACATTCGAAACGAAAATGACCTACTTAAAAATGCACTAGTCTAGAAGACCAGTGGTTACCCAATTTAATGGGAGGTTGACCCCTTTTAATACAAATCCATTTTATCAACAGATAGTTTTCGCACAACAATTGTGTTACCAAACGCTCCATAAACTGTATGAGGTCAGTAGTGACGTCACAGTCGATCCATCCTACCCACTGCCCATGTCCACTGCCAAATCCTTGACGCTATAACAGACACCCATTATTTTAAGTGAGGACGCTGTATAAATATGTGTAGCTGTTTTAAAAGGATTAGATGTTGTGTTATGTTTTATTTATTTACTTCAAGTATATTATGTACTAGCAGCCCGTCCCGGCTTTGCACGGGGTAGACAATTATTTATTTTTGGAAATTTGGATTGTTGT